ATCACTGCTATGTGAGTCTAATTCAACCACACACAATCACAGAAAACCTAAATCAATGAATAAAGAGTTTAAAACACAAACATCTGTAGCCTATTTTATGTGTTAAATGGTCTCTGGTGCCACAAAAACCATCTGGAACTCAACACCACTAAGACGAAGGAGCTGGTTATAGACGTTGGGAGGTCCAGACCAAAGCCGAGACCAGTCGTACTAGAGGGAACTGAGGTTCAGGCCGTGGACTCCTACAAGTACCTCGGGCTGTGGTTGGACAGTAAACTGGATTGGTCAAAACACACCAGCCACCTGTACGGGAAGGTGCAGAGCAGGATGTACTTCCTGAGGAGACTGCAGTCCTTTAACATCTGCAGCAAACTGCTGTGGATGTTCTACCAGTCTGTGATCGCCAGTGTCCTCTTCTACACCATGGTGTGCTGGGGAGGCGGCACATCCAAGAAGGACACGTCCAAACTGGACAAACTGATCAGGCGTGCCGGCTCTGTGGTCGGCATGAAGCTGGACTCTCTGTTGACGGTGGCAGAGGCGAGGGCATTAAACAAACTGCTGGACATCATGGACGATAGCACCCACCCTCTACACGCCGTCATCAGCAGCCAGAGGAGCCTGTTCAGTGACAGACTGCTGCTTCCCAAGTGCTGGACCAATAGATTCAAGAACTCCTTTGTCCCCCACGCCTTCAGACTGTACAACTCCTCACTGGGGGGTGGGAGGTGACACAGGACAGAGGGAAGAAGGAGTAGTGACCCCTTGTACTTTTCTGCAAATATCCATACTTATTCAGGCCAAACTATATAGTGCAATATCATATCACTGGTCAATCTATCTGCCAAATTTCTATATTTTCTCTTGTGCTGTATTTATATTTTACCTATATTCTCATTCCTTACTTATTTTTGCTTAATTTAAGGTTTTGGCTACTCACATTTAGTGTGTACCTTTGTATTTAATTTGTATTTCTAGTATTCTTTTGTATTTTGCGCACTGTGTGCCACTTTTCTGCCTGTAAGCTGCTGGTAAGTTCAATTTTCTGAGGGTGTCTTCCCAAGGGATCAATAAAGTACGAGTCTAAGTCTAAGTCTAAGTCTAACTCATATATTTGACCAGTCATGCAAGAAACCGTAATGTCTTTTAACAACTACTAAAAACGTTTCTGAAATAAAGGGTCTCTGTCAAAATTGGACATAAAAAATTTGTTCTTACTTTTATTTTCAGTAGGTTAAATGATGTCAACGACTTTACTGGAAAACAAATCAATCAGGCAGCTGCAATTCATCCAGAGACCTGACCTACACCAGAAAAATAAATTACACCAGTTCTTAGATCACTTGTTTCTAAAAGGTTTTGTGTTTAGTCAGCGAAACACTGAGAGGGACTGGGACCCACATACATTTCTGAGTTTCTTGGCAAGTATGAACCATAGAGACAGGTATAAAGGCAGCGACTGCCCAGATGGGGCAGTCCACCTTTGTCCAGTCGTAAAGCCTCAGACTTAGAGGAGCTATCTCTCTTCCTGGCAGCTTAACTCTAAGATCCAAATGGCTAAAGAAACCAAAAGAGCAACATCATCTGTGAAAAATAAAGATGAGATCCTGAGTTTCCAAAACCAGACAACCTTCTCTCCTTGAGATCTTGTCAATGAATCAAGCAAACTGGATTGGTAAGAAGGGGTAGGCCTGGTGGAATCCAAGGGAAGACTTGACTTTGTGCCAAGAATGTGAACAACCTGCTTGTTTTTGGTGTACAAAGATTAGAAAACTCCACCTAGACTACATACTCCTGAAGCACCCCTGACAAAAATACTTAGGCAATTTTGCAAGGTTAAAGCAAACCGGCTTAGTAAATAAACCACAAATTAAGATTGTGTTTTTATTTTCAAGTTTTTCCTGTGCCTTCATTATGTTAATAGTCGCAAAGTCCACCCTTGAAAAGACCCCACCTGTAAGACCAGAATGCTACATTGTTAGTCAACACTTCATTTAACATCTCTATGCACAAGATTTGCATAAAGCTATTCAAGTCACTAGATCCCCCCACGTTACACAAAAAGAAACATTTTCACCCAGCATTGTCAAGCTAAACACCTTCTGAACCAGCAATCTTCTAGAAAATTGGGGGATCAATCAGAGGATCCCCAATTGGTTTCCTGTTGGAGTTCTCATTTGACAAAATAAATGGATATTGATAAAAAGTAAATAGATCAGATCAAAAGTAGATAATTGGATAATTTATAGATAATACAAGAAATGGCTACAAATCCATGGTATGTTTAGCATTATGAATGTTTTTTGTTTTTTGTTTTTTCCTGCAATGTAAGGATTTTGTTATATGAAAACTCTGCTGTCTGCAAAGTACAAAAACACAACAATTTCCTCACAGATCTGGTCTGAAGTTTCATTTGTTCTGCTATCATTTGGAGAAGGAGACTGTCAGTACAAGAAAGCAATAAATCAGTACCTGGTTTTTTCAGTCTCACTTATTGCTTTCTTGCCACAGTTATGTAGTTTTTTTTATTGAAGACTCCTGACAAATGCAGGCATTTTCTCACAAAATTTGTATTACTAAACTATTGCTGGAATGGTCATTTTAAATGTAAATTTCTGAGTCAGTCTTGTTGTCAAACATAAGCTGAGAACGAGCTGCTTGACTAAACACTTGAAGATAAGTTTGCATCTTCCATATGGACTCTTTATTTTAAATTTTTTGAAATGCAGCATCAATGTTAACAGTTTGTTTTATTTGGTAACATTTGTTTATACTTTTGTTTTCAATAGAGCAATTTAACCAGCATAATTAGATTTTCATAATACAGATGCTTACCAACCTACTTTCAAACTTGAACCAAAATAGTCGGAAATACATCAGTGAAACAACTTATCTTTAACATCCAATTTGGGGTTTGTGTCTTTCTTTTTGAGTTGTAGATATGTTGCACTTCTCAATGACTTTCCATTAAGAAGTGGTTTCTTCAAATTAGATTTGTTCACAAAGTAAAAAACATTTGTAGATCAGGCCTCTTACTTTCTCAGTACCACAATAAAATGTTATTTTATTTTGGAACTTTATAGTTAGTTCATAGTTCACCAAGTTAAAGTTGAGACTTTTAACTTGGTGAAAATTTGCCAAAACCCTTTGCTTTCTCCTATTTAATAAGTTCTTGTTTTCTTTTTCAGACAACCTTTTTGCTTATTTGGTAAGCAAGTCACCATTACAGACTCCACAAGGCTTTACAATCTCTGTTCTTATCCTTATAGAGGTCTTTAAATCTTAAAATGTTTGAAGGTGAAGGGGGACGGTTTATGAGATGAATTCCAGTTCCATCTGTTTATCTTGATCCAAGCTCTCCATCTGTTTTTTAGCACTGAGTGGAAACACAGTCCAGTAGCATAAAGTCAAATATTCCATCACATTCCAGATCGTAAGCCTCAGGTGCAATTCTCTGAGCTCTGTGGTTGTGAAGCTGATTATTCTTACATTAGTCACTCTATGAGAACACGCTGCCATTATGTGAGTAACTTTATGTGTAAGAGAGGGTTGGCCATAGGAAGGTTTCTCTGATCTTTTAATGACAGATAAGTGGCATAACACAAGATCCTCTCATTATGTCTTAACCAAAGAGGGAGGTACAGAACATGTGTACAATGTTAAAGTGAGACAACTGAGGGGTTAATTTCAAGTCGTCTCACATACAGTTCGTCATGCACTTGCACTTATGAATATGAACACAGTCAAGTATTTTCACTCGCACACAAACAGATATTCAGCAGACTTCTCCTTGCTTGTGTTTCCTTGTGAGATGTCATTATACGATAAAGAGGAAGCCATCAGGAAACCGCTTAAGCACAACTTCCTGTCTGTTGCTATGGTGACTACCTCATTGCTGCAGTTGCAGAAGAGGTAGTAGCAGCCACAACTTTACTTGAGTAGATGTCTCGCAGACGTGGCGAGTGGGAGGCAGAAATAAAGAGGCAGGTGTATTTTGGTCCCCGCGGGATGCTGGTGGGCTGATTCATGTCCGGACACTCCTCTCCATCCACCCTGACTCTTGCGTGCCCTTTAACCCCTAACATTTGACAACAATTAACATGTGTGACTGTTTAGTGAAAATGTTTTTTTTTTTTTTAACAGTCTGAATTGCAGCCAACAGGCTTTCAGTGCAGCTGTTTGTCATTCAGACAACGCACATAGAAAACACAAATCTAGAAGTGGTGGGATACTTCCTGATTTGACAAAGGCTCATTTCATTGCTTCAGGCTGGCGGACATGTTTGCTGTGACTGTTTTGTTGTTGCAAAGTCTAGTAGTCAATGCTGAATTTAGCTCAATAACATCCTCTATATATGCATGTATCTGAATTAGATAAGACTGACAACTTTGAAGAAAACCCCATTCATAAGAAAGATTTAACCATAAATTGTATGACTTCATAAGAGCAGTGAATATTTCCTCGCTGAGGACGGATCACAGTTTTTATAAAATGTTAGTTTGTTCCATAGGAAATAGTTTCAGAGTAAGATAAACTAGATGTAGATATTTGATGTTTATAAATATATGTTTTTTTTTATCATTTTATCTAAAAAAAAACACAACTAAAACTAAGATTCTAATTGTGAAACAAGAGTAAAAATAGAGGAATTGCTATAAATGTGTATCATTGTGTAGATTCTAAATTAAAATAAACAGATGAGAATGACCAGAATGTTATGTATAATTTTTAGACTGTTTTATTTTAAATAAATATTACATTTTTACAAACTGTATTTGGATCCAGCTGTTGAGCCTAAACTGTGCATGCACTTGAAGACAGGCTTATGGTTGCTCATTGTTTTGATTCTACTTTAAAAAAGAGACACATGGGGAGCACCATGGTGCTTTGCAACACTGACAGAAGCTACATTCCACCAAAGGTGTGTACACACAAAGGGGGTTAAGCCGCTCCCCTTTCAATTGACTGCATCACAGGATCATTGGCAAATTCTTTCAGCGCTTTTTCTACTCGTCAGAACAAGAAGAGGCACAACGTCAGCAGAGAGGTCAGACACAGGCATCAAGTGAGAGCGGCAAAGTTTTGGTGAGCAACAGCAACAGAGAGAAATACTGGTTTTGGGAGTCTGAATTAGAATTTCAAAGCAAAACAGCAGATAAGCCAGTGAGAAAAAGAGAGGGAGAAACACAGAGAGAGAGACTCATACACACGCGGAGGGGTGTGTCATAGCAATTTAGTTCCTTAAGGAAGTAAAACTCAACATTATCTTAAGACAGGGTGGTGAGAACTGACAGATGTGCTGCAGGAGAGCTGTTTTTATGGCTTTTGGTGTTTCTTTTGGTCAAGATGAGGGTATTCTGCTAAATTAACTTGCCTGTGCTGTCAAAGTGATACACAGCGCGGAGGGAGAGAGACATCTGACACACAAGGAGGGAGGGGGACTCAGCAAACACTCAGGTAAGACATTTCTGCCATGTTCATTTCCTGGTAAAAAAAATTTAAAGCCAAGCTATCTTTTTACGTTCAATAACTTTCAAATCAGTTCAGTTACAACTGTGTTATTACTGGCAATGAGCAAAGACAAACTCAGTCAGAGGATGACTGGAAACTGAGCGACATCTCTCCACTTCCCCATCTTGAGTACAAGTTGAGAGATCTGTTCGCGCACACTCATGTTGAAAGAAGTTACACTGACAGGAGCATATGTGGAGCTCACATTTTTGTTTGTACAGGCTGAGAGCGAAATCTCAAGGAAGTGGACTTTGGCAATGTAACTGGCTGGCTTTGATTTGTTGGCGGTTATAAGATACCACCAAAGACAGCAACAGGTTTCAGTGTAAAACTGTGGAACTCAAATAAAGAACAAATACTCAGCGAACTGCTCTGTTTCGCTTCCCGTTCAGTGTAGATGTGAGGAAGACTGAAACTGCAACTGTTCAAAAGGTTGTGCAATTTTGAAAGAGACACTGCAATACGCACATTTGAATGATTTCAAAACCATTTCTTGTCTGCTATCTTCATCTAAGTATAGTACAAATCAACTATAATTTTTTATTTTATTTTTTTATTAATTTGTTAAAACATTATGTAGGTGGCTCAACAAAAGATGAAGTTACGCAACAGTTTGAGTGAAAAAAGGAGCTCAAACTTAGATCTGCAATGAAGTGACGACTCATCTAGGCAAAAGGCTCAGCTTTCATAAATGTTTGCTAAGTATCTTCATTGTGATTGTTATTATTTCAAGTTCCCTTGTTGATGACAGGAGAACATTTCCTTGTTTACAACATTCATCGTTCTAACACATTGAGAAACCTTCCAAAAATGGCTTCCTTGTTTTTGATATAATCACAGGCCGTGAGGGGCCACCTTTTCACTTTTAAAAACTTCATTCCTTCATTAGTCCTGGGAGCAGTGATGAATGATGCCAATGACATTGAAGTTAAACTAAAAAACATTTTTGCTTTCTAAGAAGAAAGTGAAAGGAATTTTAGCTGGATCAAAGAGGCCTCATCTAAGTCTTCTAACAGTACTTTTTTTTTGTTACAGTCATGAATCTGATGCACACAGGTTCATACATGCACCCAAACACTGTAGCTCAATGCTGGAGACATCTGAGGAATGCTAAATATTTACCTCTACTGCTTGCCTTGATGGCCCCACTATTCACTACTCTTGCTTTGACTGGCCATGAGGCCCATCTGCTATATTCCTCACTGACTGTCTGTCAGAATAATTCAGAAATACATCAAAACATTATCTATGTGTAATGGTTCCACCTCTGCTTATTGTTGTTTTCCCTGCACACACTCATGCAGGGAAAACATGATCCCTGCACACACTCATCAATCCCAACAGGCATCAAGAAGGGAAACAAACACTTGAACATGCAATGCAGCCACTCCCTGGCAAATGCCAACAAACAGTCTGATAAATCCTCGAAGGCCCTCTTCTAATCTAATTCTACCAACAAATTGCTGCTCAGCAATGTCCATTAGAGAAAGGTGTTTCTTTTTCTTTGTCGCAGTGCTTTACTGTAACACAGGAATATCTTGAAGCTCTCAAATCAACCCCAGAGATCCTCAAAAAAAGAAAAAAAAAATGTAGAAACAGTAAAAACTAAAAGAAAGGAGTTTGCAGCGTGTGAAAAACTTGTTGATGACCGCTCATTGCACACGTCTTGCAAATCCCTGGAGTCTTTTCAGCAAATAAATGAGATTGAAGCACAGATCTTAAGTAGCTATCGCAGTGCTCCACTTCCATTATCACTGTTCAGGGAAATTAATCTAATGAATGTTTTTTAATTCTCCACAGGCATCCCAAAGCATTTGAAACAAAGCCAGCTATTAGGAAAATGAATGATTCTGCATGTAAATGAAACCTACTGAGATTATAAATTTTACACCAGTTTTACACAGTATAGGGATAGCAACGACGTGCATGGTTTTATCAATTAAACACTTAATGTAACTAGACTGTTTCTTCATTTACTGCTGACCCTTCATGATTATAGCTGGAAAACATGACGTTTTACAAAACATAATCTAATATACACAAAGAGGAACAAGATAAATGTAATAAAGCAGCCATCAGTAAGCCATTTAGCTCACAGGTTAATGGCCACAGGTTGCTGCTAATGCACAGAATGCTACATTATCAGAATAGATGATGTATGCACCAAACCATAGTACTGAAGTTAACAGCTTAGTACAGGGTGCCGCTCTTTCTGTTCTTGCCCTAGCACTGATGCAATGTTAAAACTGCAAGCATGGACCTGTCGCAGCTATGCAGCCTTGAAGCTGCTGTTAAATACTTGCCCACACAGGCAAGAAATGGGAGTTAGTGGAGAAACATGCACTTAAAGAAATAAGGAAATTGTGGACACAGAGAACTTTTACAACATATTCAAATAAAAACACATTACATTTTTGGATGTTTGTTTAAGATAATGGTATCTTTTTGCAGATTCTATCTTAATAGGATTACAATGAAGTAGAAACTATGCTAAACTGATGCATGTCCACAATAAATAAGTTATCTGCAAATAAACATAAATTTAAACTATTTAAGGTCCTTGAAGTTTTAATTTCAACAGTATTTAATTGCAGTTGTCTTCAATAAGAAAATCATATAAATATCAGGTGTCCCCAATATGTACTCAGTTTATTACTTTTTAAAGTTTTTTTTAAAATTATGATTAAACAAATTGTTTTAAATTAATGATTTCAGCTTGATGATGTTGAAAAGGATTAAAAAATGACTTTGCAGCTCTGTCGGGATGTGTTGTGTTTCTGCTAATGGTTTCCTTAGGGGGATCTCCATGTTGGATGCTAGGTGAGGTTGAAACCTCTGTGGAAAATTAATAGTCTGTCCTACGTCTCTTGATGGTATCTTTCCCTTTTGTTATCATGAGTGCACAATGCATACACAAATATAGAGAGCTTTTAAATGGTTCTATTTCAGATAGACAGATTAATGTGGTAGAGCAGTGTAGATGTGTTGCATAATAGCAAAATACTTTGGGTTTAATTTTGTTAAATCTAGATAACCCTAACCCAAACCCTTAACTGTCTATATTTCCTTCTTTCATTAAAACAATTTCATGTTCATTCCATCAAAATTGTTGACCTTATTTCATTGGTGACGGAGAGTTTTCTATCGAGCGATTAGAGGTGTAGATAGAAAGTGAAAACAATAAATTGGCATACGCAAGCTCTTCCAAAACCTAGAAACTGTAATTAATTTCTGCAATTGACTTTAAAGCATTGTATCAGTAAGCTGAAATGTTCTCAATGACTTTGATGATATTTAATAAGATAAACAAATAAGTAAAATGGTTTTTATTTTCTCTGATAATTCAGGCAACCATGGAGGCATTCAACTCCAAGGATTTGGCCATGAAGGCACAGAAGAAGATCCTCAGCAGCATGGCCAACAAAAGCACCGTCCAAAAATTCATTGACGATACCACTAGTGAAATATTGGATGAACTGTACCGGGTTTCCAAGGAGTACACAGGAAATAAAGGAGCAGCTCAGAAAGTCATTAAAAACCTGATCAAGATTGCTGTCAAGATTGGTGTGCTGTTTAGAAACAACTGTTTCAGTGAGGAGGAACTAAAACTAGCCCAGGAATTTAAGAAGAAGCTCCACACAGGAGCTATGACAGCCATCAGCTTCTATGAGGTAAACTTCCAGATACTAACAACAAAATATGCAAACTACATGCAGCCTTTAAAGATCCTGCTCATAGAAATAACCATTTTGTTTATAACTGATTACGAAAAATCATATATACCAAATACTTCAAGTATGTTAGCAAGAACCAAACATCAAGCATATACTTCTTGCTTGATGCTGGCATAGTAAAAAGCATAATTAACAAGAATCAAACCTGCTGTATACGTAAACTATTTTGATAACATCAAACAGGTTGAAAGAATTTGAGAATATTAACTTCAGTCATTCTCAATGCACTTGCTACCCCAAAACAAAAAAAAAATAAAAGAATTTTAATTACATTTAAAATTATTTTTTTCTTAAATTCTGATATTACCATAAAATATTAAGGGCATTTGAGTCTAAGCATGTTTATACAATTAATGTTCTGTTGCTATTTGTGCTGTTGCTCTCAAAAATCTAAACACCATTGTGAAAATGTCAGACTTTTGTGATGTATGCAAATAGTCTACACATAGAATTACACATATAATGTATAATTCAACTGAAAAACAGACGTGTTAAAAAAAATACAAACATGTACTCATAATCTGGTGACATAAACTCAAACTAAACTAATTTCAGCACCTAATGTTGTTTGGTTTACATCTCACATCAACTATATGTCGTCTGTTTAAGTTAAAATTTTAACTATTGTACTAGGATTTTACTGATATGTTCTGTTCTTTTTGCTGAAGCCATTATTTACGGACATTAATTCACAATCACCTTGTAAAAAGGGTATCAATCATGTGAAATGCACAAAAAATTCAACAGAGTAGATCAGAGAAGGGCCTCAGTAAAACATGGGACAACAATGACATCACAGAAACCCAATGTTTCGCAAATATTAACAAAAACAACACAGACCAAGGGAAACATGATTAAGGAGGTTACTAAATGTTAACACTACCACTGACAGACCTGCATACATTTCTATGAAATAGTAAAAGAATCAAAAGGTGTTTAACAAAGTATTAAAGGTCGTCTTTCTAAAAGAGTTATTTGATTTTTACTTGAACAGCACATGATAAATGTTCTACTATATGTATAAAAAGCTTGAAATTACTCATAGCTTCACTTTAAATAAAACAAAAACTTTACACATGTGCATACTTTTGAGAACAACCATATATGATCCTAATTTTGAATTCGAAATGAACTTCAAATTTGAAGTTAGACTGTTAGAAATATTTCATTTTTTGTGCACAAGAGTTTGTTCTCTAACAATGTATCTGTTGACTGATGCAGGTGGACTTTACCTTTGATAAGACTGTGATGTCGGACAACCTGACAGAGTGTAAAGATCTTCTGCTGAAGCTTGTCAACTCCCACCTCACCTCGAAATCTCATGATCGCATCAGCCACGTCTTCAACCATTACTCCGACCCTCAGCTCCTGACCAAACTATATGACCCAAGCGGACCCTTCAGACCCCACCTCACTAAAATCTGTAAAGGACTCAACAAACTGGTAGAGGATGGGACAATATGACGTGTGAGGAACATGCTTGCATGACACAATGGGAGATAAACAGGAAACACACACTTAAGACTCTGGACTGGTGGACAAAATTTATCTTGCGGAGTTGCTGAAGAAAGGCAACTTCAGACATCTGGTTTGAAAACAAATATGGCTCCTCTTTGCTTTTAGAGAATATATCTGATGAAGTCAAAAGTCAGGAAAATGATATCTCAATTGTACAATATACAGAGGGGGCACACACATCCTGTGCAAGTAAAGTACATAAAAAATAACTTGAACTTCAACAGTTTTAAACTGTTATCAGTGGTCCAAAGTGTTATTGTTTTATATTTGAGACTGTATTATTTTTTTTTCTTTTTACTGAGACCTAAGAACTGCGCACAATTGTGTAAGAAGAATGAAACAGCAGTTGAAGAGTCTTACCAAACTGGACAGAGATGCCACTGTGCTGCAACACCACCATCTGGTGGTTAGCCTGTGATTCTACAGAAACAGTGCACTGCTTACTGAAATATGGAGATGGACATACAAGTAATAAAAAAGGGAAATAACCACATAACAATAACAGGAACAATTATTCTCATCGTAAGGAACTTTCTCGTCTGGCTATGTGAAGTTTTTCAATTTTGTGATAGGGTAAAGTTTCACAGAAGCACCAAAACTGTAAAAGTTCCAGCAATGCAGAAACAAATATTAGTTTATTAATCATTGAATCACATAAAATAACAAAATAAAAAAAATAAAGTCTTAGCAAATAATAAAAGACGCTGTTAAAAATATCCTAAAAACATATTTCTGTGATTTGTCTCTTTTTTGTGTTAGCCACATACAGTGTCGACCTATTTATGCTTGTATTGTTACAGTGAATAAGTATTTGCATTCCCTGGGTAAATGATCAGAAGTGGAAAATGCTGTGTTTCCATATGCAGACATATGACTGAAGCAACAAATGACAAAGTCCTCATGTTCTATAAAATATGAACAGATACAGCCTAAAAAGACTTTTCATACAAACTGTAGGTTCCCACAAATAAATATGTGCAATTTCACTACATTTCTACAACAAATTTTAGTTTTTGACTAACTAAAAGGGTTTTAAAACTTCACACAGCAGCACAATTAGAGATTTTTCACTTTTCTGCAAATGTCTTGACCTGCAGTCTAGTCCCTTCGCCATGTGTTTTAATTATCAGAAAGACATTAAACAAAATTGTCACAGTTCAAAGATCTCATCTTCCCTTTCTTTCAGCTTCTTGGTGAGCTTAGTGGTAGTGAGGGGGACTGCCCCAAGATAGGCTTGATGCTGAAATCTTGATGATGAAATAACACTCTGTGACCTTGTTAACGGACACCAATCTGAAGTTGTGCTTGAGCAAGCTGCTTCTAGGGCTGCAACACTGTAAAAAAAATAATAAAAAAGAATCAAATGAAAGAAAAAGCTAAAATAAATCAATAACATTTACTTTAGGAAAGACTTTATAAATATTCTCAAAGTCTAATTGTTGTTTAAAGTACCTGGTAATGCATAATACCAGATACCACACACACATGCAATCATTACAACATCCTATTAGACAACAGACATAATTAACATCTGCTAATTTACAGTTAATGTAAATATGCAGCTGCAAAGTTCAATATTGACAAAATAAGTGGTGGTACTATGGTATGTGAAATGTGCCTTTTTGATGAGATTACAATTAAAATAAAATTTGTTTAAATGGTGACACTTTAAAACAGTCATGGTATAAAGATGTGGTAACCAAAAGTACCGTTTCTCTGCATCTTTGCCTCCTCTGGCTGCAGCCTCCTTAGACTGGCTGATCAAGTTATCCAGTCTTTTCAAAAAATCTCCAGGAGTAAGGTCTGATGCAGGTTTTCTATAATCCTCTGTATCACAGTTTGTCTTTCCTTCTTTATGGTCTTCCTCAGACGAATCTACCCCATTGCTGTGGTCATTCAAGTCTGACAGGACTGGGATTGACAAGGATTTCTTCAGGAATATTGAGTCGTTGGTGTACAGTCTGTTTGCTCTTTTGATTAGCTCGACCTGGAAAATATATTTTCTTTGTTAGATAATATTTATCAAAATTAATCTAAGCTTACAGGAGTGTCTCAATAGATTAAAATATTCATTTATTTCAGTAATTACGTTCAAACAGTGCAATTCATATAGTTATGATTACATAAAAATAAAATACATCAAATGTTTATGTTCAATTGTTCAAATAATAACAAAAATAATTTTCTCAGAAAAATAATGTGCATCCATATTTTGTCCAGCATATGCACTTAAGTTTTTTATTTTTTTAAACAAAACCTTTCAGCTTTTGTTTAAGTCTGTTTGAGTTTGCTGGAGAATCAGTAATGTTATGTCTATTAATCAAAGTATTATTACTCTTGACAGGGTAAGACATGCTGGAAAACGTAATGAACACATCCATGAAGTTTGTTTGAACATAATTTTACAATGGTATTTTGTCAGGTAATGAAATGCATCTGTGCAGGTCTCTAAAGTGCTGGGTGGTGCATTGTGTTTTCCAAAATACAGAAGGCAGACAGTCATTTCAACGTTTCATTCCTGTTCCAACAATACATAATACTTACAGTCACGCCATACTTTAAAGCCAGACCCTGAAGTGTTTCCCCTGGTTTAACTGTGTGTTCAATGACTTTCTGGCGAACCGGAGAAAGCGAAGAGCGAGTTAAGCTGCCGTAAGATCTTGTTCTGCTTCCGCGAAGCAGGCCGCCTCTCCCGGATGGCAACGACGCTCGCTCCCCGGACATATTCCAGAAACATTTGGGTTGGTTGTAGCCAGAATGGAGGTAGAATACAGTCCCCAGTGAACTTTACATTTGGTAATCTCATAAGAGAGGGGTTTCTTTCAACTTGAATTTATATTCAAATGTTGAACTGGCAGCTTAATAAACCATCCAAGCTGTCAACTAAATCTGCTTTAAACCGTGTTTGTTTTGTAAAACCTGTTACGATGTTAAAGAACAAAAGCTGGTAAATCTGCAACCATATATAAATTATATTAAAGCATTAGTTTAATGCAAACCTTACCTGCCTATATAACATTTGAAAAGTTGCTCTGAACCCTTAAGAAATAATATTTTCCTATCTCACGCAAGCAGCAGCAGCCATGTGTTGCCATGGCTGCCGTGTTGATTGATGGGTCACATGATTCATAACAAACGCTGCATTCAAGTCAGTTGGAAAAAGTCGCAATGTTTGGAGTTCGTATATGCGTTGATTAAGAACAACCACACATCTAATACTAATAGTTAAAGCAGGTACTGAATAATATTTGCGTTTCTGTTTCTTAGCTGCAAATTGGAATTTAAAATAGTGATGTTTTGTAATTAAACGTTACTCAAATGTTAGTAGCTTTTTCCCCATTTGACTGTTTTTTTACGAACGCATCATGCTATCGGAAGTAGCTTATTAGCTAATCTGTTTTGAAACCTGTTTTTAGACCACTGCTCTATTTATAATGTCGTTTAAAAGAGAAGGAGATGATAAAAGTCAGCTCAATATCCTGAAGGTAACAACTCATTTAACACAATTTCCCTTGTGGTAAAAATATAATGCAACTGACGTAAAATGTTAAAGTTAGCATCCTTTTACTGACCTCAACGTTTCGATTGTATGACGAGCAGTTTAAAATATTTGATTTCCCAATTTATTAAAACGTTTTCCAGAAACGTCGTGTGGCAGACCTTTTGTCTAATTTTATTCCGGAAGATGAAGCGGCTCTGATGAAAAATGGGAGGTAAGTTATGCCTTAAAACGCGTTTGTAACTGCAATCTAGTGGATTTAAATTGGAATTATAACAGCTGTCTGATTTCTAGATACACTTGTCTTGTATGTTCCTACCGTCCCGTGTTTGATACGGTAGACATGCTGACAGTCCACAGGCAAGGAAAGAAGCATCTCGAAGGTGAGTATTCCCAAACTAAAATTCACTTCAGGGAACAATTATTTAATTCCTTTTCGAAAACAGGTTTGATATTATTATTATTATTATTATTATTATTATTTATTATTATTATTATTATTTACGAGTAGCATGTTAACTTGCCAAATTTGTATGCTGTGGGCTAATAAAAATAATCTAAATTTCATGTTTTTAATTTCTATCGTGCAAAACCTCAGCACAGTAAAATTGTGCAACATCTTGTATGTTTATATTGCAAAGGCTTTCTTTTATATCAGTGGTCCTATTGGTACTTTACATGAGCCAGTCAGCCGTCAAGAAATGATTCCTTTGATACCTAGAAATTTTGTCCATAAAGGTTATAAACAGAGTCAGTATCAATCTCTCAACAGGAACAAGTCCAATTTTAAAGGAACATTATGATTAAATACACATTTAACTGAAACTCTACAACATTATTGTAACATGAAAAAATACCTTCATATGGCATTTTAATTGTCAATGATAGTCAAGATAAATTTTGACTTATTTAATCAGAAAACAGTTTATTAAACCTTATTGAAAAGCATTTTTTTTTATTTTAGTTATACCGATACGAATAGTAAATGACAACTTTCATGTTTCAATTTTATTGATTTGTTAGAAAGCTGCGTTCTTTTTTCCTGGTGCGTTTTCAGGATTGAAAGCGTTTTATGGCAAGAAAGCAAAGCTGAAGAATGAAATTTCGAAAATACATCATGAAAACTATATCCAGTCTGAAGAAAAACAACAGGTTGGTGGTTTTCTCCATGTTCACGCTGTTCTGTGTTCACCACTCGGCCAAAACATTTTAACACTGTTTGAATCCTCCTTTAACAGTCAGAGCCTCGTGGGGTTACCTGGGGACCTTTGGTTAATGATTCTTGTGAATGCTCTTTAACAGTTTGTGAAGGATAATTAATCTACCTGAATGCAACAATTTAAGTTTTCCAAAAAGAATCACGCTCTAAAACTTAACTTTGAAACTTTGACATTTTTATAGCTTTTTCAACATTTCTCTCAGTGTTGTTTTTGCATCACAAGCATACCGTTGCTAAAAAACAAACATACAACTATAAATTACATTGTTAAAATGATCATAATAATAGGCAAATATTTTCATTTATGTCATTCAGTCCAGGCTTAGCAGTTAAACTCCAAGGAATTATTTTTGAATATAATTACCGCGGTACATATGAAGATGTGTGGGAAATCTGTAGGCAGTAGTCAGATTTCCCAGAGGGCAAATGAATCATCATCAAAAACAACATGAGCTCATGTTGACTAACACTTTTAAATCATGTTGTTTTGTGTGAAATGTGATACATGGTGTCTCCGGGAATGTCTTCTGACTGACAAATTGAACCCTTCAGTTTGGTGCCTGAATGTTGCATGCTAGCAGATTATTTACTGGGATGGTTGCTTCAGTGAGCTCATAGCAGCATTTGAGAGAGAATGTAATTTAATAAAAAGAGTTGTGTTGTGCTTTCAGGAACCCTCCAGTTCAGCACCTTTACTGGCACAAACACGGAAGCTCACCCATCATGCTTTACTAAAGACTATCCCCTATAACAGCTGCCACAGAAAAACTAGGTGTGTCTCTGTGATGTGCAGTACCCTTTCATTTTATTCATGCAATGAATAGCTCAAATTAAACTATAGCTTCTGTCATTCTTTCCAAGTACAAAACCTCAAAGAAGACCTATGAGTACTGGCTCAGGTACCATTGGAAACCTACACAGCAAATCTCCATCTGCATCCTGTAAAACTGAAGTTTTAGAAATATCAGCAACCAGCAATGATGACGCTAACACAAGTAAAGACTCTTACTGGAAATTAATGTGCTAATTTTGTTTCATTTATGAAGTTATTAAATTTTTTGATGATGAATTGTCATCAACAGTAGTCAAAACAGAAGACCTGGCTGCATTAACACAAGCTGCAGAACCTCTAACGGCACAGAGGAGAAAGGAAATGGAGCACTATCTCAAACTGAAAAGGTGAAAAATAGTTTTTCTTATTTCTGCTTATTGTTGGAACTGAAGCAAAGCAGCAAAGTGATTGAAATTGATTTCATTATGTGTTGTTTCTTGTTTGTTTGTTTTTTTTAAGTGATGGGTGGGTGCAAGATCGTAACGGCCAGTGGGTCAAAGACGAGAATGTAGAGTTTGACTCAGATGAGGAAGAACCTGCACCGCTTGTTCCCTTATCTACAACAAAGAGCTGTGAGGGGCCTCTTATTGTGGTACACTTGAGCAACAATTCTGTTTCGAAGAACCAGAACCCCTGTCCATGAGGACTTTGAGAAACTAACTAAACAATTTTCTAGTCTTTCATCAGAGTGTGTTTCTTTTCTTTTCTGATTCTGTAATGTCCTTTTTTTACATCCACTACAGTGGCATGTTTAAGCAACTATGATGTCTTTGATTCATTATGACTGCAGTGTCTTGCTTTACAGGGTGTTGCAACTCTCCAGCACCGCCTGCATGTCAACATACATATTTTGTGCTCCTGGTTCAAATTAATTTGGGACGATTCGTTCATCTCTTTCACACCCCTGATAGAGGAAGCTGTCACATCGCTGTCATCAGAGATCGTTTCAGGCTCTGAAGGGCTTAAGTGTTTCTCCTGTTTGCTTCATCTCAGTCTCTGTTGGCGAACTGTAAAGCAAAGAGATCTTACAGTCACATTTTTTGTTAGTTCCTTTTTTTTTTTTTTACATTTGCATAACAAAAAGGATGTATAAAAGCTGAAATATATGTAAATGTCCCTTTACATGATCCATAACAACCAGAAACTTATGGATTTACTCTAGGTGGTTATTTGATCACTTCTATCAACATAATTGCTACAGTTTAAGTAATTGGATTTTCTGGTATGGACTCAGCATTTACTTCTTTTAGGTTTAAGGTCAGGGACCAAAGGCTAAACGTTAGACTGCTTTATTCATTTGCTTATTTAATCCCCTGCAAAACAAAAGATTGAGAAGCAGCAGTGTCTCGCAATATTTTAATAGGGATTTTGTGAATCCATCCATAACGAAAGGCTTAAAATCAGCATACTCACAAGAGTTTTTGTTTAAAGGTGACTGGACACAGTGATTCACCGTTTCAACTAGAGCGACCGGCTTAGCGTTCTTTTTCTTTAAAACCGGACAATTAATCACAATGTGGCCTTTCTTTTTACAATAAAAACATGTAACATTAGCCTTCAGGTCCCCCTCATGAACCGACTTACTCCCAACACTAAGCGCAGCAGGAAGATCTGAGTCTACAACTGAAGCAGGTTTCGTCCCCTCCTTCCCGTTACTCTCAGATCTGTCAAACTTATTAAAGACATGTGCTCGCTCAAAGTTATTTTTATGCGTTAACATATACTCATCAACGAGCACTGCAGCTTGTGACACATCAGAGACTTTATTTTCATTCAAGTAGGTGGTAACTTTCTCTGGCAAGCCATTCTTAAAATCCTCCATTAGAATGAGTTGCTTAAGTTGCGCAAAATCCTCAAACTTTTTAGCAGCGCACCAGCGATCAAAGAGAATTTCTTTATCTCTAATAAAATCAACATACGTTGGATTATATTGTTTCCTCAGCCTGCGGAATTTTTGGCGATATGCCTCAGGCACCAATTTATATGCTCGCAAAATAGCACTTTTAACTTTATCAAAATCCAGGCTATCAGCCACAGACAGAGGCATATGCCTCCTGTGCTTTACCCGTTAATGCACACTGCAACAACAAAGTCCACACATCTTTAGGCCATTTAAGTTTTAATGCCACTCTCTCAAACAATGTGAAGTATTTATCAACATCCCGCTCATTAAATGGGGGAACCAGGCGAACATTCTTACTCACATCAAAATCATTCGATCGCGATTGCAAAGACCCAGCACCCAGCTCAAGTTCTTTCAAACGCAGCTCAGCATGTATTTCCAATTTCCGCTGCTCCAGATACAGCTCCTTTTCACGCAAAGCAAGCCGTCCTAATTCAACCTCAAGCTCCTTCAAACGAACTGGATCTTCTGACAAAGTTTCCGCCGGAAACTCAGCAGAACTCTTTGATAAACTCGCATCATGAAAAATCCCAATCTGAACCAGTGCCGCTAATAAGCCAGCTTCAACTTTATCTCGATTAGCACGTTTATTTACCGTAACTTCAAAATGATCGGCGACTAACAGCAAGTGCTCCTTTGTGCATCTACCTAAGGCCTCCAAAGTGGGATTTGCAACAAAATCTCCTAGGTCAAACTCCATGCTTAGACCACCAAATCACCACACTCTCCACCAAAAGCCCAAGCACAGAAAAAAAAAACCGAGAGCACCACGCCCCAATCTCCTAATTAAATCACGGCAACGCACTACACCCGGTCCAACCTGCACTGCAAACCAACATAATCACCAATTGACCACAAACCATACCAAAACTCATTGACGAAGATAATCGTTTTGACGAGCCCCCATAAATATGTTATGTCCACCAGGACGCCATATTTAAAAGGACACGTAGACAAAGGATTTAAGAAAAAATGCCTTTATTTATATATATAGTTTTAAACTCTCTTTAGGCTTCCTTTTTCCCCCTCTACATCCATTTCCTGCAAAGGAAGGGAAAAACCCTTTTTCCCGTGTCCCAAAAAAATAAACTAAAAAAAAAACAAAAGAGAAAAAAGTTCAACAGAAAGGTGGACCTGGTGAGCCGGTCCAAAGAAACAAAAAGGCACAGCAGGGGGCCAACCCTATACAGGGCCGTCGAAGCCCCTGCTAATACTTGACTAAAAAAGAAAATAGAGAAAAATAACCTATTAACACAGAATGACCGAAAACAGGACAACCGGTCTCACCAGGCCATAATGATTACCAGAACGAGGAAACGAACCAGATGACAAACAAAAAAAATCCCCATGGTAGGCAGGAGACGTCAGCTGGATCCACAGGCAGCCAAAGTCAGCAACGTCTGGTCAGGACGCATCCCTCTGGGAAGGGAGTGAGTGAGCGGAAGAGCGGCTGGACGGGCCAACCTATCACAACCCAACCTATTTATAGGCTGTCCACGCCCCCACCAATTAACCAAATCAAATTAATTACAAAAAGAATAAATTCTACATTAAAGTATATAAACACAAAATCACTCAACTTAACCCAATACAACATTAATTAAGAAAAATAAAAATAATTGCAAAGTGCCCAAAGAACATAACACATCTAAAAGAGATTAGAGTGCAAACTACCAGGGTGCACCCAATAGATTTAAATTTGATATTTAGCACTTGGCCAAGTATTGTTGTTTTTATGTTATGTATTTTATTGTGTGTAATTTTATTTTCTTAATTGTATGTCTTGTCCACTTGTGAGTTTATGATTCATGTTACTAAAGCTATTTTTTTTTTTAAATTCACTCAACTGTGTATGTGTGTCATTTAAAACACCCATCGTGCTCCGACAGCCAACCTATTGGCCCATCTACCTAAAATATATTGTACCCTTCTCAACTGTGTTACAGAGACTGATGCCCAGCTCATTGACTTTCACCGTTAATCTGTTCCAGGCACCACAGATATTCTTTCTTCATGGTTGTTTATCCTGTTTAATAACACACACAAGTTTGGAGCTAAATATTCCAAACTAGTCAAATATTTGCCTTGTTTGCCAAATACTTAGCTCCAGGGGTTAAAGCCTGACCACCAGGCTCTCGCCAACGTGCCCCCCCTCCAGGCCTGGCTCCAGAGTGGGGCCCCGTAGACCAGCGTCCAGGAGAGGGAACGCTTGTTTCCATTGATGGTACTCATCATAAGGGGTCTTTGGGCTGCTCTTGGTCTGGTTCCTCACCTAGGACCTGTCTGCATTGGGTGACCAGAGGCATGAAGCCCCTGACAGCTCCTAGGATCACAGGGACACTCAAACCCTTCCACCACGATAAGGTGGCAGCCCACGGAAGGGATGTGTATGTGTGTGCATGTTATGTGCATATGTGTGTATGCATTTATGTATGCATATGTGTGTATGTATATTAAGTAACTTATTTATTATTTAAGAAAGAGAGAGAATGAGAGAGAGAAGAAGAAAGAGTTGTATTGTTTTGATTTTTTTTTCTGCAGTTTTTTCTTAGCAGTAATTGATCAGGAGATCTGGAGGAGAGCTGTGACAGACTGGCGACCTGTCCAGGGTGTACCCCGCCTCTCGCTCGAAACGCAGCTGGAGATAGGCACTAGCACCTCCCGACCCCGTTAGGGAGAAGGGTGCTCAGAAAATGGATGGATGGACGGATCTGGAGGAGAGAGAAGGGACTGACATGCAGCAGATCACCCAAGACTTGGAATTGTACCCAGGATAACTGAGTTGAGATGTACAGCCTCTGTAGATGGTGCGCACGCTGTGGTTCCTCTCTTTTATACCAGTAGACAACACATGAGGGCGACATAGAGGAAGCAGCCACCGTTGGGGAAGGAAGAGTCTTAGATTTAGTGCTGATGCCACAAGACTTAAGGGATATTTTTAAGCAATTCTTTCTGTTTTTTGAACTCTTCTGGGGGCGATTTAGATTGACCAATTGACCTAACCGGCATGTTTTTGGGGATGTGGGGGGAACCAGAGCACCTGGAGAAAACCCACGCAAGCACAGGGAGAACATGCAAACTCCACACAGGAAAGATCTGACAGATCCTCTCTGTGAAGCTGCAGTGCTAGTCACTACATCACTGTGCTGCCCACTTTTTTTATGTTTCAAATTCATCTCAACGTTTGATTGGGTTATGAAGGGATCTTTTTCTAGTTGGTTGATAGGGGAAAAAACTTGTCTTTGTAAATTTTGGGGGGCAATTTAGATTGACCAATTGACCTAACTGGCATGTTTTTGGGGTTGTGGGGGAAACCAGAGCACCTGGAGAAAACCCACGCAAGCACAGGGAGAAACATGCAAACTCCACACAGGAAAGATCTGACAGATCCTCTCTGTGAAGCTGCAGTGCTAGTCACTACATCACTGTGCTGCCCACTTTTTTTATGTTTCAAATTCATCTCAACGTTTAATTGGGTTATGAAGGGATCTTTTTCTAGTTGGTTGATAGGGGAAAAAATCTTGCCTTTGTAAATTTTGGGGGGCAATTTAGATTGACCAATTAACCTAAGGGGCATGTTTTTGGGGTTGTGGGGGAAACCAGAGCACCTGGAGAAAACCCACGCAAGCACAGGGAGAACATGCAAACTCCACACAGGAAAGATCTGACAGATCGTCTCTGTGAAGCTGCAGTGCTAGTCACTACATCACTGTGCTGCCCACTTTTTTTAGGCTTCAAATTCGTCTCAACGTTTGATTGGGTTATGAAGGGATCTTTTTGTAGTTGGTTAATAAGGGGAAAATTTTGTAAATTTTGTCATGACGGAGCGTCACATGGCACGATGGTTAAAGAGAAAAATTCTTGATTTTTGTTCACTCTTTTCCTTCCTTTTTCTGTTTCTTCAAACTGAGAGTCTTGCGTACTTTTTTCCAAAAAGAAAGTTTTGTTTTTTTCCTTTTACCATCCTGCATGGATTTTGGATCTGTGTTGTCCAAATTCTCCTGGATGGTTTCTACAGCACACTGCATCTTTTCCATAGATCCCGAATCCGTGG